GATTAAGCTCCTTGACTGCAATCCACAGAATCGTCCTTTCACATACCCTTACATTTGACTACATACTGTAAACTAACACATTGTACCCACTGTACCCCTGTATGAAACCCCTGAGTGGAGCCCCTCACTATAATAGCAGAATAAATATCCAAGTGACACCAGGCAGTGACTGGACACACCTGTCATGTCCCATTTGTCTAGATTTCAGTTTGCTTCCCTCCACAGAACATGTGTCTCAACACTGTATATATATATATCTCTCTCAGAATCCTCCAACACTGACTACAGGTACTATAGTACAGTATGTGCATCAATAGGTGTGATACTGGTGATTAGAACATAAGATGTAGGTCTATTTTATGGTGATTGGGATGTAATTTTAGGCAAATATTACAATAAATTTCGCAGCAAAGGACAGTTAAATAATTTCGTAGTAACAATATTATTACAGTAATAAGCTGTTACCGCATTCATTTCCTGGCGATCCAGTATTGCGCCCCGCATGGTATTAAATCGTCTGTAGCAAGAGTGGTACTAACTCAGTCCAGTACTTGAGTCCCCCCTACAGGGCAGCTGCTGTTAACTTGGGTTTGTTGCAACGGAAAACATTTTAGTACAGAGCAATAGACTCACCTTAGCAGCCACGTTGGTTGCAGCTGGTGTTAACCTTGTGTACAGTGTGTACTGACCACGGCAGCCGGTATTGGTGCTGTAGGGATTTGTATACAACAGACTTTCAACACGTATTAAAGCTTAATGTTAATTTACGAGAATTCATCTTAATTTCCTTTCATCTGGGGAACCTTAATGCCTGGAAAACATTGCCGTTTATTTTTGTTTTACGTAAGAAAGAGCGAGGCTCACATCAGGCACACAAGAAAACGCAGCCACGTCCCCTAAACATTTTAATTCAGTTCCTGGTGTAACAGATGAAGTACAGTATAGCCAAAGTGATAACATTCCTGTCCTGGGAGACTAGTGTTTCACGGAACCCATCGCCGGCTGAACCCACCTCACTGCAGAAACAGTCCTGACCGTCTGTGAGCCGGGAGTCGGCGCTGAACAGGGAAGCGGGGCGGGAGCAGTTGGGAACACTGTGTTTCTAATGACTGAGACACAACGGCGGAAATTCGCCGGCGAAATTGGCATCGCGATACTGTTCGCCACCAGAGGATCTCGACACTCTGACAGCGGCGTGGGAATGCAGTTTCTTGTCGAACGACATGGGTGTCCCTAATTGGGAACCCTATATTAAATGCTCACGGGGGTGGTATGGGGTTTGTCACAGAAGCACGCCATAAACCTCACCGGTTGGGTGTAGCCCACTCTCACTAAAGAGAATATTTTTTCCTCCTGGTCTCTGTTCTCTATCGGCTCTTGCATATTTTCCGTGGATCGATTCCACACCGGCGCTCTGATGCGGAAAGGGTAGGCCGGAGGGCAGACGGATTCAAAACGCCACAGTCCGGTATATCAGAGGCTGCAAATCACCAGTCAAACTGCACAGAAAACGGTTTGGCTCAGAGACAAGTTTGTGGTTTCAGACAACAAAAATATTTAAAAACTTGTTAAACATAAAATGAATGTTTGTGAATAGTTTGTAAAAATAATACAGTAAAAGTGTGAGCCATCTATTCCAATATTTATGGATGTACATATGTTTGTCCATAGTGCCCCAGAAGCTGCCAGAGGTGAACATATTTAGAGTATCTCGTTCTGCTCAAAGTGCGAAGGATGCTGAAAAGAGAAGAAAGAAAACAGAACGTTTTGGCCGTGGAGCCTTCTTCAGGTGCTCACACCTGAAGACTAGTTTAGTAACTGTACAGTACCTGGATCTAGATCGGTGATATAAATGACGGTTGTGGTCCTTGTGCAAATCGAACAGATCACGTTGTCACTGTGTTTTCACTGCTGTTGCAGCTTGTTCAAAGCACTCTAACAAGATAAGCAAGATCTACCTTTTCTAAATTCCTGTTGATCTTTTAAAGTCATAACAGTCTCTCCTATCGCAGTACAGATGATCCTCTCATTTTAACTGTTTCAATAACCTCGCATGCATCAGACGTACAGACCTGCTGGTCTTGAATTACTCGGCTCTGTTTTCTCACCTTTCTTGGACGGATGGGGACTACATGAGCTTTTCTCTATCCCTGCCTCTGGCCCCTGTCTGGAGAGACTGCTACAAGAGTTGAGCCAGCGGCCCATGAACAGCATCTCGTTTCTTCAGATAGAATCGGTAGAATACCATCCAGGCCCTGGAGACGGGTTCATTTGCATGTGTCTGGTTCCTGCTTGGTTAACATCTGAGTGAAATAGTCTCTTACGACCACCCATTTCCCTTTCGCCATCTTAAAGAGAAACCTGGTTGTCTCTCGAGACACTTCACTGCAAAACAATACATTTATTATTGACTTCACCCTCCATTGCAATCTTATTACCCTCTGTCTACCCTCGATGTCTTGGCTTTTCTAATATCATTCTAATTCAGTGATTCTATTTTTTTGGACTCCTTTTCTTTTAAGTGAAATCGCTGAAGTACTGTCTTCTAAAGTACTTTACTTCTTTCTAAAGCACTTTGGTCATGGTGTAGGGATGCAAGGAGATACAGTACACATGTGATGCGTGTCCATAGTGCCCCAGAAGCTGCCAGAGGTGAACATATTTAGAGTATCTCGTTCTGCTCAAAGTGCGAAGGAGTGTTTCAGGACTCGGGCTCTCCAGCAGCTGCTGTGCTAAATGAAGCAGAGAGCTGCCAGCTTCCTCAGACCACACGGCTGTGATGTTGCAACTGATGGGATGACATGTAGCAGCTCTTTCTGATGAATAATCACATGCAGGCTGGATGAACTCCACATCCACAGCTGAAGACGGTCAATAAGGAGCTAGAGCAGAAGAAAGGCCCTTTCACCTTGTGTCACATCTCTGAAAAATGTGGATTCGAACCTAATGTACAGTAACCTGTGTGGAGTGTGTGGTTTATGGATTTCTATGGCAACAAGATCATTCGCTTCACTTTGTAGGGCTCAGGGGGGAGAAGAGAGTTACATCAATATGAATAACATGTAAGAGGCATATTGAGTCAAAGGAAGATATTAAGTGATGAGCCTCATTGACACTACGATTAAGCGTAACAGTTGCATATGCAAAGTTAACCAGAATCACAGTTCTGCTCTTGCGTCTGAACCCACCAACCCCTTTGGAGGAGGGGAGCTAGAATCGCTGGACTGCAGCTGGGCGGCTTCATGCCTGGAGAGAGTTTCTGAAGGAGAGGAGGAGGAAGAGGAGTGGCTACAGTGGGCCCAGACCTGCACGAGCGAGTCCCTGCTGCAGAGACGACGGGACTCAGACATGAGGCTCCACGCTCTTCTGCTGCTGGGCGTCTGCTGGCTGAACGGTAGGGCTGTTCCTGGGGTGTCTGCTCCTGTCTGTGCCTGTGCTGTCTGCGTCCCGGGAGAGCACGTCTCTGAGCTGAAGACCTGCTGGTGGGACAGGAGCCAGGTCCTCAGTACAGAGGAAAACGCCTTCCTCTGAATGTCTCCGAACATTTGGATCAGTCCGCTCTCCTGTCTGTTAAAAGTCAATTGTACTCGAGACAGATTCTATGGATGTTGACGTGAGCCCTTACCAATGCAGTATTTATTCTAGTTCTGCATCATGCTGCATGTTTTCTGTGGTACACTGTGGGTGTTTTATAATTGTAGAACCAATAATATTTCTTATACTTTTGTTGACTGTTTTTACACTGATTTTTAGCAGAGCAAAACGAGAATATACACAACAAATGGGAAAAAACACAGGGGGCTTTAAGACAGAAACAGAGGAAAAAAAGCAAAATGGTTTTTGAACACAGTCAGAAGTGATTCTGTTTTTATTAACTATAATATCACTATGACGGTGTAAGGGTAGGTAGTGAATCACCAGAAAGTTGTAAATAAATTAATTCAATTCTTATTGAATTAAATATTAATTATTTGGTTTAAATAATGTTTAAACATTAATTATTCAGTCCTCTTTTCTGAGCCTTAAGCTATTAGTTTATTAATTTGACAGCATCTATTGAAGAGGCAAAAAGCAGCAGGAATGTGTAATGTGCAGAGAGCGTTCCTCAGACTCTGTACAAGTGTCTATGGCTCAGAGACAAGAGAGAGTAAACAGGTGCAGCTGCAACAGACATTAGAATTACCAGGAGAGAGAGAAAATAAGATTGTAATAGAGACTAAAAAAACATGTTGCACTTTCATCAGTACAACAACAGTAAAAGTGGAAGGAAACAGTCTACGAGACAGAGGGGATTAATTATAGAAGATGGCGGAGACATACTAAATGAATGTTTCATACTGGTGTTCGGAAGATGTCAATAACGGAGCCCTTGTGAATGATCAGACACCTGCAGTACCAGGTAATTCTACCATAACTGATGCTGGGTTATAACAGGGGCTAGGATTCTGTTAAAAACAGATTCATCCCTGGGGCCTGAAGGTATTTTACCAGTCATATTAAAGGAAATGAAGGAAAAATAAAGAAATCTGTTTCTCCCAGACGTCAAGCGAGAGTATGAGAAAGGGAGCAGTACGTACAGAAGGGACAATCACAATCGCCTCACACTGGTCCCCACAACTGGAGCAGAAAACTGCAGACCTCCTTCCTCGTGTCTTCCTCCTGTTACTGGTGACTGTATGGAAATGATCGCTGGAGCTACGTTAGAAGAATACCAGAAGAACAGGGACATGTTAAGAGACAGTTGGCATGGGCTGTGAAAGGAAAGGTCTTGTCTAGCTGACCTGCTAGAATTCTTTGTGCAAATGACAATTGCATAAAAACCCTGAATCGTATGACATGATATACAATAGATTTCAAGAAGGTGTTTGACAAGTCCCTCATAAAAGACTGATTCTCAAACTGAAAGCCTCAGGAATCCAGGGTAACGTACAGTATACACATGTATCGAGAACAGCCCGGCAAACAGGAAACTGTGTTGTCTTTCACTGGATCGTGTGTGAGCAGAGGTTCTGCAGGGGTCTGTTTTAGGATCTCCGTTCTTCCCAATCTACTGAATATCTGTGGTCTCGTTGTTAGTACAGTTAGCACACATTTGCTCATAGATCTCTCTTTAGCTCACGGGGCTAGGTCGCTGCAGAGAGACGCGGGAGTCCCGGGTTCGAGCCTCAGTCGGGATGGGGCCGACCAGATGCGGCAAGGGCGCCCGCCTGAGCCCCCGTTGCGTTACAATACTAAGAGAGGGGGAGTGGCAAACACACATACAGAATCAAAGGAATTACTGAGATACTGGTGCAGTGGTTAGTTTGGGTGAATCACGGCGCTAGGGGTTTAAAAAGGCACGGTTGCAGGGCTTAGGTGAGTTAGCTGGACGATTCCAGCAGTGTGAGAGCACAGCTTAAAAGAACATTTTCAAAGTATGAAGAAAAAGGAAACTAAAAGAAAAGAGATTTATTGGAACTGGAGATCAACCGTCTGTTCTAGAAAGGAAGGAAGTATTGCCCTTCACTACAATAGGGAGCGGAAAAGACCTCTTAACATATACAGTTGGACCCTTAAGTATTAAAAGCCAACCTGTCTGTACCCTAACCTTTTTAAAAGTGTGAAATTAATTTGCTCCCCCCTGCAAACGGCAAAAACGATGCAACCACATTCGTTAGTGCTGCCTTTGCGCGGGTTTATGCCGTTGAAAGTAGCGTTTGTGCTGCTTTCTTTTCCGAGATATACAGTACAGTAGCGCCTTGTTTTTTCGGGTAATCACGCGATCAGGTACAGCGATTTTGACCCTCTAGTTACACTATCTGAAAAGCTCAAACAGTATTACTGGATGCGAGGATAACAAGATCTGCGATTCTGTTTCTCTGTGTGCCCGGGTGGGGGGCGGTGATTGATTGTGATTTTAATACCAGTATTTTCTGCGCATTTGTGTGAACAGGAAAATTAAACTTGTCCCAAACATTTAATCAATTTCGCATGCTGAAAAGATAAAAAAAAAATGTTTCGGCTTCTTTACACACACGAAGGAATAAACCTTTACCTGTTCCTTTGCAGCCAACGCCTGCTGACTCAGTTACCTACTTAATCAATTTCTCATTGTGTCCGTTTTAAATAGGCAAGTCAAGAGAAGTTCAAATCAGTTCAACACTAAACACCGGGGTCAACTTATCAAAAGATCACAATTGAATGATTTGGTGGTCATGATCTTTCTGTAATTGCTGATGCAAAAGAAAGCACTGGGTACTTGTAATCACATCCAGTGATTAAAAGTACAGAGTGTGTTGTTACCTGTAAACCGCCTTTTAGACAGTCACGTGTTTACCCGGAAAAACAAGGCGCTATGTCTCGGAAAGGAAACCAGCATAAACGCTACAGTACTTCCAGAGGCACAAATGGAGCACTAAGCAATGCGGTGTGTTTCAGTGATTGTGCTGTTTGTTGGTGTGGGGGTATCTTCACTGAGCTGGACAAGCGAGCATGCCCTGGGTCATTACATTGCATACTGCAAAAGACACGATTTCAGCTGGGAGAAATGACTTACAGTAACAAAGGCTCTGTCTTCAGATGGCAGGGTGTACTCTCACAAATCTACACAAATAAAAGAACTGTGACCTAATTGTGTTAGGTTTGCAAGTAACAGCGCTGTAAATACAAAGTCATGGATCGTGATGTTTGTTTTGTTTTTTAAACTTGGATGTATGTTCAATTATTTTATGTAAAAAAATATTTCCGAATATTTCCGAGGTCTGCATGTGTGAGACGGTACAGTTTCCATATAGTTTTGCAGATGTGTTATGAACTACCTACTGTAGGTCAACTCGGTACATAGTGCCCCTTAAAAAAACAATTTCCTGGTTCTTTTCACGTTTCCGAATTTTCTTTGCATAAAATAGTCCAACAATGGTCTTGTAATATGGGAAATTGCTAATTCTAGTATTTTTACATACTGTACTGTACGTGGCTCAAAAGACAGATCAATCTTGAAACATCCCTTGATGAAAAACCTATTACTTCTTCAGATTAAAAAAAAAATTGACACAGCTACAAAGTATTAAGATGTGCTACTTAGAGCTTTTTTTAAGAACATGCAATTGCTTGTCAATGTTCCTAATGTTCACTTTTTAAGTCTTAACCTGCAACTTTTGTGATTACGGTATGAGTGGTAATGTCTTATGGTATGATATTGGAGACAAATTTAATTTTCCTGTTCAAACACGTGCACAAAACATACTGGTATTTAAATGCAAAATCAACTGAAGTTATTTTCTCTCCCTCACAGTGCCGACCAGCCCCCAGTCTGACAACAGGCAGCTGACTCGTGCTGTCGGACAGTCGGTCACTTTTCAAATCCCAGTACTACAGCGGGGATATTTGAAATATGGAGAATCTACAACCATAGCAGCTGTCTTGAATAGTGAGTTCAGTGTGTTTGGGAAGTTCAAAGGTACAGAGCGCTTCACCTGGGACAGAGCCACTGGATTCTTCACGATCACAGCCCTGAGCTCAGAGGACGCTGGGGTTTATACAGTGGAGAGAAAGGAAGAGGAGCACACAATGACAGTGGAATTCAGCTTGACTGTGTACAGTAAGTACACCTCTGTACTGGGACCGTGTCCACTGATCTGAAATGACTGTGAGGAGTATTCATTCTTTTGATTCATTTGTGTTCACTGGTAGATTTGTTTGACTTGCAGCTGGGTAGTCATTTTACCTGTTTCTCAAGTGATTAATTATTTATTCTTAGATGACTGAAGACCTCTATATGAGAACATTTGCGTGTCTGAAAATGGCTTTTTTCTGCCTAAACAGTTTAATTGCAATAAAATGAAGAGCATGTGTAGTGCATTATTAATTTCTTATCATCCTGTTTTACTTTTTGAGATTTCTTTGACTGACATACTGACTAAATGAATAGTTGGACTGCACCTTTTAAAAGGACTTGGAAGTGCCATGATATTTGAAAGGAGTACGGAGACTTGATGGTCAGAATTCCCCCAAAGTGCATCATTATTATGTTCAGAATGCTAAGGTGACAGTGGATAGTCAGTCTCTCCATTGTGTATCCAGTCAGTGTGTCTGGACTGTATTAACCCCCTCTCTCTCTCAGTGCAGTGTTAATGTACTGGAGTGTCCAGTCAGTGTGGAGAGTCGAGAGAGGAGCTGCAGTAATGTGTCTCTGTGTTACAGGGGCTGATGACAGTGTCCTTCTATACGCTGGGGCAGCTGGTGGAGGAGCTGTGTGTTTGGGAATTGTGGCTCTAGTGCTGTACTGCAGACTCCGAGGTAATCATCATCACCATCACCACCATCATCATCACCATCATCACCATCGTCATTACCGTCAACATCACATTCAGGATCACTAAACCCACAGCTGGCCACCAGTCCAGAGCCCTTGTTTCTCCTCACACTGCTGTGTTCAGGATCACTTGCAGACTATTGCTGTTTAACTGTGTTCAGCTACATTCTCCAAAATCACTCAGTTGGGTCTCTTTTCTCTTGACAGGTAAAAAGCCCAGAGATGAAGACAGGTACTGTGTAACAGGTCACACAGAGAATGTTCATATTAGTGAGCTCAATGCATTTAGCACTATTTTTCTATTCTGCTGTCTATAACAGGTTTTGAATTCTTTTCCAGCAGAAATAAATACAGTATTAGAATTGTGATGTTTAAAGAAGTAATTTATATTTAACGGAGTACTTATCCTGTCTTTTTCTTCTGTCTTCACAGTTCTCCTTCCAACAATGGAGCTCCGGAAAGTGTGAGTTCATGCTCTCTGCTCTAACCTTAGAGTCTGGATTAGGACCCTGACTGTGATCTCCAGGCTCTAAGGATTCATCCTGGACTGGAGTCCTGACATCTCTAGAGTGTCTAGTTTAGAAATTACCGCTCTCATTTACAAGCAGCTCTGACAGGCCCAGCTTTTGTACTGAGGAACAGATTGCTGACAGGTGCTTCCGCTTCTTAACATGATTACACATTTAACTGCGTTTTTCAACATTCAAAAATAAAACTTAATGATTTTTTAGTGTCTTTAATGCTGTTTGAAGTCTTGGGAAGATGCAACTGTAACAACTCTCATATTCTTATTATTTTCTTATTCATGATGACTTACTTATGGTTCAAAACTATATATTAATGCAGATAAAATTCACTAATAATCCTGGAAGAGATTCTGAATTTCTAGTGGTGTTCAGCCATCTGGTCTCCACTATCAGAGCAGTTATTTACCCAGATACTGTATCTCTGTAGCTCTACACATGCCTCAATACCCTGACTATCTGGCATCTTCTGCCATACTAGTGCCCAGGAAGAGGACAGTCCCTTTCTGTGATAATGGACAGAAATAAATACACTAATACTAATTAATTGATACAGTAAATGGAGTAGACACTGACATTTTGGGAGTGATGGCAGTAGCCAAGTTCACTTTCTCCTTGGCTCCCCAAACGTTCTGAAGTCATTACAGATATAAAAAAAATATTCTTAGAATTTTCACTCTTTCGTCTCATGCATCCCTCCTCTTCCTCACTGAATCCTTTCTTTCTCCCCTGCTGGTTCACTCCTCGCTCTGCCTGGGGATCAGGTTTCTTCTGCATGAAAGACACTCCATTCGACTCCTTTTCATCTGACCTCTTCATAACCCACCAATCCCAGAGTCTCACCCAGCTTCTCCGCTGAATGAGCTCTCCCACCGCTGGGTGGAACAGGAAGGCTGCAGCCCGTTTAAAGCCCCAGTGCTCTCTGGGTAAAGGAGCGCCTGTGGTCCTGTCCCCAGGTTAAGTGACACCCTGGCCCTCTGGTCCTGCTTCCTTCTTGAGCCCTGAAGCTGCACCTTTAAGGAGTTCAGACTGGAAACACAGCCCAGAGGACCTTTCAGAAACTGAACGGAATCTCCTTTCCTCCTGAATTGTGGAGAGATGATCCCTCTTCTTTCTCTTTCCTTTGGTTCCTCGCAGTATCCTGAGGAGGTGGCCTATGCAGCTCTTGACATGAAGAGACAGAAGCTGAGAGCAGCGCCCCCTGCTGGAGAGCAGCACACAGTGTATGCAGAGGTGAAGGGTGGAGGGGGGCAGCGAGAGGCGTTATAGACCAAACCCCACACCAGCTGCAGAGACCCTGGCAGTGAGAGGACAGAGGAGGCAAGTGTTCACATCAGGAAGAAGATACTGTATAGAGCAGCAGATTCAGTCCTGTACTACTGAGAAACTGTATATTTTATACTCTGTGAGCTCATTACTGTCTCTCTTCTACTGAGGTGCACTGTCTCTGTCATCTTCCAGAGGAAGACACTGTGAGCTCATTACTGTCTCTCTTCTACTGAGGTACACTGTCTCTGTCATCTTCCAGAGGAAG